TCTGACTTCAATGTTGTGCCACTTCTGTCAAGAGATTCTTCATAATTTTTGTAGACGTTTGTTTTGCAGGCGACGCCCGCTGAACTCTGGCGACCATGCTTGCAGGAGGAGGCGTGGGGTCACTTGCAACGAGCATGGTGGCCGTCTGCAGCCTCTTGTTCTCAGACGTCCTGACGTTTGGTTAGTTTCCCAAAATGAAAATGTTGCTGGGTCTCATCCATCCATTCAGAAGCACCTCTGGCAGAACCAAGCTGTTAGCCCTCCCGATGAATCCTCAAGGCTTTAGCATGAAGAGATTCGCATCTTGGAGGTCATTAAGTGATGTTCAATGATTGCCCCTTGATTTGAACATCCAGTTTCAAAAATGCGAGACCCAACATGTGTATTGGCCCTTTGCGGCAGGCACACTGCTTTTCGGAGAGTCAGTTTGCTGCGCTGTGCACTTGCGCTCTGTCATACGGCATGGCAGGTGGAGGCTCTGCCCGAGCTGAAGCAGATATCCTCGGCCGCCTGAATGTCCAGTTGCTCTCAGTAGCAGCTGTTTCTTTAGCTCAGCACCAAGGTAAGCCGCATCTTCATCCCCGGCCTTCCTGGGATGCAGATCTCGCTTTCTGCAGCGGGTGGCGTCGAGGGCATGCATCAGCTCCTGGGCGATTGTTGTACTCCTCATCACGTTTTTGTTCAGCTCGTGCTGGAGTTGTGTTCGCTCCGTCTGATGACTCAATGACTTGGGCGTGGCGACTGCAGGCGAGCCTTGGAAATGGTGATGCGCGGCATGGACGAGCCCTCTTGTCCGGTCAGCTGAGAAGCCGAGTTGGAGCCGACCTTAAGATCGCACCTTTACATCTGTAATACACGGAGTTTAAGGCTTACAGTGTTTCTGGACATCCTGTTTGTTTTGGGCTTCATGTGAGGTGGCGACGGCAACTGCAGGAGCACAGGCAGGTCAACGAACAGAAGCTTGCACAGCAGACTCGGAATCGTCTGGGCCAGAACACGAGCAAGGCCAGCGAAGCCTTGGCCCGAAGCTGACACTCAAATTAGTGCAGCTTACAACCCATTAGGCCCAATGAGCCGGTTGCTTTTTTTTTTGCTTTTCCTAGCTGACATGGAAGTGGTGTTTTTGTTTTAAAGTTGCGAGCAGTGGTGACGATAGAGAACTTCTGTGTCAGCTGCCTTGCGAAGGGCAGTTTAACTCCTCCGTAGGCTCCAGCACAAGGCGAAGGACCGGGCCCGTGCACGCGTAGATAAGATGTACCGCTCAGAACGATGCGAGGCAGATCCTTCACCTCCAACATCTCATAGGTTTAGGCTCCAGCTTTATTGCAAGCGCGCAAAGCGCACTACCTCACCCGCGCACATTTGCAAAAGATCGCGTGGACGAGGGCTACAGCTCTCCCCCTTTCCTGCTAACACCTGTCCAAGGAGGTGTTAGCAGCATGTTGCAGTTCCTATGTGGATGCCAGGTGCCATTGCTGAGCTGGATGAGATTAGCATGGACCCCAAAGCAAATTGAATCGCCTAGTTTTGCCCAAGCGATGTGCAATGATATAAATTGTTTAGCTAAGCTCTAGCCGAGGAGCCTCTGTTCAAAACCTCCCGGCGTTCCTTTTCCTTGTGAATGTCCGGCGGGCCACGTCGGAGGGCCCAGACGAGAGCGATATCCCAATGTCTGAGTGCATCTTCTTCAAGGTTGCTTCGGTTCCACGAAAGAAGGAAGGTTCAGGGTTGCCCAGACACTGGCATCTTTTGGTTTGCAGGCTGCTACAACTGCTTCGTGATACACTCACTAAGTCCACGGGTTGAAATGTACCGAGCCACTATCTGGGTTCTTCGCACAGAATTGATGCCCCGCCGCTAGTGCCTCCGTTGTTGGGCACTCCTAGATTGTTAAAAATGTTCAGGAGGAACTCTATTGCCGGATCTTCTTTCTGGATCAACACTACATGTCCCAAGTTGGTTTTATCCTCCATGCAGCTCCTGCCAGTCTCCGTATTTTCAGGCCAAACACATACGAAGACGCCTTGATGGGCAGCCATGTTTCAATTCCATTGTGCACTCGTGGCTTGGACATTCGTTAGAAGGGTGAAACGCACAAGATGTCCACGGCGAGACTGCTCGTCACCAGCATTTTCAGCTGGACTAGCGCATACAAAAAACAAATCGGCGCTGTCAAGATCAGAATTAAAGGCGCGGAACAAACACGCACTGTGGAAGATCCTGTGCTGCGGTCTTTGTCACCTTTTTGCAAATGTTAGCAGGATAGGATGAACCTTCCCAGCCCCAACGAGAACGACGAATTTCGCCGCTTGGCGCCTCCGGCGGCCGCCCGAAGCTCTGCTTCGACGTCAGTGGCAGGACATTCACTCTCGGCAGAATTCAGCTCTCAGAGGCATATTCTCAGTGGGAAGCGTTGAGCTGGGTGCGACCTGTCGAAACATCCGGATTCATGTTCCTCCCATTTCCTCACGACACGAACATGCTGCGAAGCGCAGTTGGAAGAAAAATTGCACTCCCCCTACTCTTCAGAAGTTGGAGATAGCTAGGCCCAGGCATTCCATGCGCAGCGGGCGCACGCCAGACTTGATGCGTTTAAGGTTCTTGCTGAGCCTCTTCCGCTGGAGAGATGCTGGTGATGCGTTTTCGCGTTGGCCTCAAGCATGACTGGCCATGACAATCAGGGCTTCACGGTGACTTTTGCTTGTGTAGATCGGTGGTATTTGTCCATGCCGACGGTCTGAGATGTGGTTGCAAGTTCACCACTTACGGCCAAGATGGTCAGGCTGTGACAATAAACAAACAGATGCTATCAGTTGTCGTGTTCACCAAACATGCTGCGAGGGACGCGGTGAAGGTTTACCGTTCTGTCGGAAGGCGGGGTACTTCGCAGAACATCCGGACGGACTATCCGTTTCCGAATCCTGCCTCCACACATAGAAGTCTGCAGCTACCAGAGCAGGTCTTGCACGGTCTTGCGACAGGCGAGCTTTGTGTCCATCATTGTCCTTGAACTCCCACCTCTGCTATACCCGTGCGGGCTGCGAAGTTGGAACCTGAGCCAAGTTGTTCGGGTTTCTTGAAGATGTCATCCTAACTGGCTTTCAACATATGTTGCCTGGTGCCGAAGAGCTGCATTTACCGAGGAGCGCGCTGCTGAGATGCGAGGAACCCAGGTTTGCTTGCTGCATGTGGGGTTTGTCACAGCAGACAGTGACAGGGAGGTCGCAGAAGTTCGCTAGCGAGCCGTGGCCTTTCAAAGTCATCAAGGGCATCAACCTGCCGCATATCTCGGTGATATGTATCCCTGTTGAAAATAATCTTGCAGTGGTGTTTGTTGACCTCGGGTTCTCGGTCGGACTGGCCTCTCATCAGTCACGAGGTTGGCCCTATGTCGGTCTTATCGTGAGGCATGCCGGCAACGCAAAGTGCTTCGCAGGTTGAGGGTGGGATGTGAGAGGTTTCGGCCACCGACGCCTTCTGACTGTCATGCAGTCATGCAGCTTTGCATAGCAGAGCCAGAATGAGCCGGACAACGCTCGTCGATAGGCCAGCAACATGTTCTGGTGTCCTCAGGGCTATTCTGCCAGATGTGGGTCAGGAGAAGAAAAAGTGGTCACCCCTTGATCGTATGACGCGCTCTGAGATTGCAGATGTGCTGATGTCGCTGAAGCTGGTATCGACCGTGCTGACACGTGAGAACTCTCATCTTCGCTCCGACGAAAGGTCGCTCCGTCAAGCAGAAGCTGCACATCGCCAAGCGCAGGCGCCTAGTCGCGTGCGTTGTTTGTTTTGGGAGTTGAGTTCCTCTGAGTTGCAGGTGACTGCTACAAGCTCCGCAGCAGGTGACGAAGGCCCTCCATGAGCACGGCGATGGGAAAATGAAGATAGAGCTGCTGCATGAACCGACACGGAAATTTGGCAGAACTGATTTAGGCAAATTCAGGCCTGATCTGCAGCAGTCTGCAGGTGGCAATCTGGAGGCAGAGCCTGACGAGGAGGCAAAGACTTGACGGGGTGGAACTGCTTTTCGGGATCTTCAGGCTCGGGGCGTGCTAGGAGGTCAAGCGGTTCCCGACCTATGCCCGCCAAAAACACGGCAGACAACGATCTGCTTGGCAAGCATTCACAAGAGGTCCCCGGCTCTGATGAGCTCGGCAACAAAAGGTGGCGCCCGATGCTTCTGCTGTACCAGAAGGCCGGCTTGGTGGTTTCTCTTGTTTCAGACATCTGTTATGGAGGCTTTCGGTCACGCTGTCGTCCTTCACCCGTTCCAGACTCATGCCCTATCCGTCAAAGCATGTCAAAGCCGATGTTGCAGCCATAGACCGTGCGCTTCAAAACTGAAGCCCGGAGCTTGTGACGAATCAACTCCTTCAATCTTTCTCTCAGAAGGGACTTAGGAGTAGTTGGAGCCGAAGACGGCTAGATCTGAGCGCGAGGGCGAGGCCCGAGTCGCGACTTGTTGCTCGCAGATCTCCTGCGTCTACCGTGGGGTGAACTTCATGAAACCGGCGGCGGCCCAGGAGCAGAGCGTAGAGCTTTACATGTAAAGGATCCTTCTATGAGTATGACTACGCATTGCATCGCCTTGCTTCTTCGACTGTTTTGCCACTACTCTTGGCTGGTGGACTTGTAGGGGATGGTGTTCCTCTTGGCTGGTGATTGAGGTGCTTGGCGTCAAGCTTTGCAAAGCAGTCTAACAGGAGTTCCTTCGCATGGTGCAAGAAGAAGCACAGAAGCACGAAGACGCAGATGGCTGCTCGGCATTCCACAAAGTGCGCGTCACCTGCATCCCAAACCACGAGCTTGACGTCCATGGCATCCTGCTGCATGAGTTGCATACAAAACTCCAATCACATTGCATCCAGCAATATGCTTCCGATATCCCTGCATACGGCGCGCGAGCCGCTGTTGCAACCCCACCTCAACACTGCCCAGGTCGGTGCATGGCCCTTTGCATCCAGGCAGAGGCGAGGGGTGCCGGATCCAACAAAGATCGCCGGGATCGAGGTTTGACGAGGGCTCGCTCGTCGGGTGCATTGTCGGAACATGATGGAACATGAAGCAGTACGGGAGTGGAGATGGGGCGTGTCGCTTTTGAGGCGATGCGACAGTCGGAAGACTGGGATGAAGCTTTGCGCCTGGCCGGGGAAGGTGTTGCTTCTTGGATGGCAAAGTATCAGCCACCTGACCCGACATCTCCGAAACCTGACGGGCCAAGGCTTTGCAGCCTGAGCTGACCATGGCCGGCTTGAAAACAGGCGAGAGCCTGTGGGCCTTGAGGGATCTTGGGCAACTTCAAGAGGGGATCAGGAAGCAGGCACTGGGCAACCAGATTCCACAGGCAGTTTGACAGCGCTGGGAGGTAGCCTCCACTTTTGCCATCTGGTCTTGGCCTACTCTCACTACGCCTTGGGCCGCCCGAGCCTGGCGCAGGAGGTACGGCGACGAAATAGAGCGGGATTGAGACGGTTCATGTACATGAACTGGGCTTACGTACCTTGTGTCCGATGCGAATGGCATTGCTGTTGCCGAAACAACATGATGCCTGGTGAGAGCTCCCTCCTAGGCCGGTAGCCTCCAAGTGCAAGCTGGAGAGCACGATCCAAACCCCGAACTTCCTGAAAGAAGTTCAGGCACTGACGAAGCTGTCTTCATTGAGCGTGTCAGACCACTTTTTCCAGAAGCAGGTGGAGTTCAAGGCCAGCAGCCGTAGACTATCCTAAATTCTGCATGGTATGCAGAACAGATCAAATCGGGATGAGCCTTCCAAGCCAAATTTCTAGTGGAGAGCACCTGTTCCCTCCAGTTACAACCGTCATCACCACCACCAACACACACCCCACCCCTCCGCCACTAGACCCAGTCCTCACGTATCCCACTTACAACCAACCGACAACCCTCACCCATCCCCGCACTCCTTATCCGCAAACCCCCCCAACCTGCAAACCCACCGCCATGCACGACCACCACGGTGACCAGGATGGTGGCTTGAGCATGAGCAGTACCTTCCCACTCGAAAGCCTGAGACATTGTCACAAACAGATGTCATATGATGTCATTCTAAGTATGCCAATGGCGCTGCTGGTCATGGTGGTGATCCTGATCATGGTTGTGCTTGTAGGTGAGGGTGGGTGATATGTGTGGTGCTGGTGCCGCTGAGGACCGTGATGGTCCTGCATGGTGGTGGTGGTGGTGGTGGTGGTGGCGGTGGTCCTGATGATGGTTGTGCTTGTAGGTGAGGGTGGGTTAGCTGAGGACACGGGTTGGCAGAATGAAGATGTGAAACATAGACCGAAGACCATAATGGCAACCCCGGATTACGCTCGGAAGCATGTTGCCAGAATGCAGAACCTAGTATTTTTGGTGCATAGCGTTCACGATGCGACTAAAACCCCACAGGGTTTCCCGAACGCCTGCAGCCGACGCCGAAACACAAGCGAGGACCCATGTTGTAGTTGAACACCCGCAGAAACATGCTGAGTTGAGACGACCAGGCAACCCATCTTCGCTTCCTCGTCGGTGCCGAGTTCGAAGAGAGCTACCGATCCTCAGATTTCGAATATTCGGGCTTTGCACAGGCTTTAAAGTTAGAGCTCAACTCCTGCTTCCATGTGCATCAGCTCGTTGTGCATCGACGGCAGATGCTTTCTGTTTGAGCCGTGACTCCAAACCGCGAACACTGTTTGGGGTGTTGGGATTCGTGGTGGGACGGCACATGCTCTCAGCTAAGGAGAAATTTCTGCCGGGGTCCTCAGGGCTGGAAGGTGTAAAAATGCATGTCTTGGATGCTACAGACCTTCGCCTCTTAGTGCTGGGTTCTTCTTGTTGTGCTTACTCATCCGCTGACATGTATTTGCACTGATCGTCCGCAGCCGACACCGTGGCCATAGGTCGCTGCACGAAGCAGAGAGCGATTGGTGGTGGAAGTTCCAGAAGGCCGGGCATCTGGCCAGACTCAGCACATCAAGAGAAGTCTCGTTGAAGCAGGAACTTCGATCCAGTGGGATTTTATCCTCAGCAATCACACTGTCGATTTCGTCACGCTCCCAGCCTGTTTGCGCTGCACATGTTCTCAGGGCTTGAGCACTTGGCCAAGGTTGCAATGTTCACGCCTGCAACTGCAAAAGAAGGCCATGCAGAGACGGAGGATTGAGGAACATCTTGACACTTGCTTCCTGTTCTGCGGCTAATGGCGGACTGCATTTGCCAGAGCCTCGTTCAAGGTGATGCCCCTCAAGAGCTTCAGCGTGTGGAACAGCACCAGGCCTCATAGCCTTTGCAAGGTCATTGTTCCATCCAGCGTGCTCCCATATTGCGACTTTGATAGTTCAAGGATGACATGATTCGAAAAAAACAGCAAAGCCATGAAAAGCGAGCAGCACGAAGGGGCAGAAGCGAACATCGGATAATCGGATAAACCTCTTGTCACCTTCCCAAGCCGCCCCTCCCCGGGTCCCCTGGCCTCGGGCTCCGGTTCTCAGCCGTTGAATTTTCCCCAAACGACCCCGCGGGGTCCCATATCAGAAGCGTTCGAACCTCGAAGAGAGGCCCAGGATGGTCCCTGCGAGGGAACATCCGGAGTGCTGACAGCTGGCCGCCTAGAGCTGGCCCGAGTGCCCAGAGGTCTCAGATGTTTTTAGAGATTTCGGGCGGGCAGAGAGGAATTGGAGGATTATGTCGGATTTCGGAGTTTCCGACTCGCTAGAATGGGTGAGCAGCTCAATCTAGTGCCGGCTAACACGGCTCCGATGGTTTCGGTTTTGGCGTTAACGCTCTGTACGTAATGTTGGAGATGTCTTCTTGGCTTTTCCAGGCTTCAGGCGCGTTCGCACGTACTGAGCTGGCTTGCGGCTGTAAGCTCTGCAGGGCTGACAGGCAGCGGGGTCTACCTGTGATACGAATGTGTGCTGAGCGCGTTGCATTGAGGTCTTCTCAAACACCTTCAGCATGTTGAGGCACTGGTGTTTCGGTGTTTCGGGTTGTCACAGGGCAACTGCTCGAGCGAGTTGGGGTGCAGTCTGGCCTGTGCAGCTGTGTCGAAAGGTAGGATTGAGCCGCCTGTGCAGGGGGAAGACTCTTCAATGCCGACTGCAGCCCGATGGCTTAGCGGTTCACCAGGAGGCGTCGAAGCGTGAGTTCTTGCAGAACGGGGCATTTGCCAACCAGAATGAGATTGAGAGCAGGGCAGGGCATGCCCTTCCTGTTCTAGCTCAGCAGTGTCTGCCCAGGCTGGATGAGGGCGCCCGGAAATCGTGTAGTGAAGCAGAGCTCGTGAGCTAGCACGGCAGAGATCTCGAGCAAAGGTTCGAGCGACTGAGCGGCTCGCAAGACGCGAGTGAAAAAGCTGCGTGTCTCAGCCACAGCAGAGAATGCAGGCTGCACGGCATAGTTTGAGAAAGAGAAGCAGAAGAGCAGAAGAACAGTGCAGAGCAGCAGAGACCTTGATATGCCGCCCACCCCAAGAGCACGGCGCTGAACCCATCATCGGTTCGCGGTTGATTCGATCATCGCGGTGTACCATCCTTTTCTTCGACTTGATCTTCTGCCAGTTTAGGCCCGCAATATTTCACGGTTTCGCCCGGTCCTCTTTTTGAAACAACCGTCCCCGACACAACCAGCGTCTTTACAGATGTTTCTTGCCGATTGAGGACCACATCGCTAAGCTTGTGGAAGGTACAACAGCAGAGATTGTCATGAGAAATACGTAAAAAAGAAAGACCCAATTCGTCATGACATCCATTGTCTCAAAGCCAGTATCGCGGGCGAGCAACACTGAACGCCACCAACATGGTCTCCAGATGCGGGATCTGCGCCTCAAACTTGGAATCCATAAGAGGGCAGCAGTAGATGACGTGGTTGCATGCAATGGCATAGGCCAGGGTAAGCAGGAGGACAAGACAGAACCACAAAATCAGCTTTGTCGCTTCCTTGCTAACACGGAGGTCGTACCTTCGGTGACGGGTGTTTCTGCAAGCGTCCTCAACGAACAATACCTCGCAACCCGCCGGCGCGAGACCTAAGAGTGAGCCAAAGAAAATGCCGCCTTGGTGATGCTTGTTCGAATGTGCATGAGGGCCGGTCCAGAGCCAACAACACCGAAGGTCCGAAAGCATTTGTAGGTGCAGGGCAGGAGGACAGCCAGAGAGGTTTGTCCTTGAACGACCAACTGTTACGGTCAGAACGTGAAACGTGCCAATAATCACATTGCCATATACATCCCGGCATCGAAGAGCTTGGCCCCGGCGTGTGGTGCGGCACAGC